TCACCATATGCTTGATCCAGCTGCGCTTACAAGCCCAAAATACATCTACAGGCTCTCTAATACTGTTGAAACAAGAAGCCACTAAAAAGTCTTGTTATTTTACAGTAGGAAGATGAATGGAGAATCAGACTTCGCCTTTAACAATTTTAACACCAAAGATGTCATCATCCACTGCACAAATGGGTTATGCAAGCTCTTAATTAGGAACAAGGTTCAAACAAATATTATTCTTGAACTTTGTCCTGGACCAATTTTACTGTCAGCCAAGGATGGTAGGCTTTAAGGAAGCAAGCACCTACGTACAGGCCATTGCAGCCCACTCTTGCACGGTCACTTAGCTGCAGATGTGCCCTGCTTACACCACTTTGAGAGACAGATGGATTAGGGTACTAAGGGAGAGCTCAGCTAAGAAGCGCCAGCCTTTTACACGCCTCACGTCTCTGACCAGGCGACGTTGTTGGCACTTTCTCAAAACCAGGCCCCTGAAAAGGGGCAGCAAGTTGGAAACAAAACTCTGCGGCAACCCCAGCCGCTTTCCAAAACAGTGGCTTTTGTGTCCGTGGGGTGTTTACCCTCCAAGCCTCTTCTCAAGCCCTGAGCAGATCGTTTAAGTTAAGTAAGTGTCTCCATGGAAACCTCCTTTCTCAAGGAGCCTCCTTGCTGGACAAAACCACGCACCCTTTTGTTTGAAAGGGAAAGGCAGTTTGGTAGCAGCATAATGCCTGTCTAGAGAAGGGCCTATAGTGACTCATCATCAGATTTATGTCCTTTAAAAACATGTCCATTCAATTAAGACATTCTTGGGATGGCTAAAGGTGTGCTATCGCTGCTGCAACTAAACTAGTCAGTTCTGCCATCCCCTCCATCCCTGCCCTGGCTCTTAGAATCACAGAATCATAGAATGGTTTGGGTTGGAAGGGACCTTAAAGACCATCTGGTTCCAAATCCCCTGCCATGGGCAGGGACACCTTCCACCAGACCAGGTTGCTCAAAGCCTCATCCAACCTGGCCTTGAACACACCCAGGGAGGGGGCATCTTCGCCCTCAGCATCACAGCCTGCCTTCTTCAAGGTACACAGGGTCTGCGTACCCCTCTCACACACAAATTCCTGGACCCGGTGAACTCCAAATCAACAGTTTGTTTAAAAAAACCCTACAGCTAAAGTAATAAACTCAATGCCCATTCTCAAAATATAGGAAGCGTCTTGTCGAAGCTACTAGTTGGTTTTTAAATAAGACAATCCTCCATGTTTTGGAAAAGAAGAGATGAGTTTTAGCCTCTCCCTCCACCAAGCCCTTTGTAAGCTGTAGTGTGTTTTATCATTTCGGGTATAGGACCATTTGAGACCCCTCAAAAAAGAAACCAATTTTCAGAAAGCATACTCCAGCAATTGAATATTTTATGTTCTAATATAGAAAAGAGACTTTGATATTAATAGGCAAATAAATAATTAAGGGCTGTGATTAAAAACAGTTTCAACTCAGGCAAATGACTTCACACAGTATGTAAAAAAAGAAAAAAAGCAAAGCCACCGAAGAAGTCGCATTCAAATCACAGCAGAGTCAAGATGTTCTCAGAAAAAAAGCCCACAGGTTAATTTTTAAGTCAGAGAGTCGCTATTTAAGAGCTCTTTTTAGACAGGAAGGTGCCGTCACGGGCTATCTGAAAGCTAACAAACACAGGTGCTGGCACTGGGCAATGCACAGATAAAGACAGCGTGGAGGAAAGGCTGTATTTCAGAACGACGACAAAATAATCCCATTCTCCATTACAACATTTTTTAAGATTTTCTGAGAACATAAAAACATGACATGCCTGTCAACTTTCAACTAGGCCCAGGCACTCAGCAGCAGTCACCTCCTTTTCCCACCCATCACAGGTGGGGAAAAAAAACCCCTGGGACGAGACGACACACATTTATGGTTACCATCTTGCAGCTTCCCAGTGGAGAATGAAAGCCTTTTGGCAAACTCCTCTCCAGCAGCTAACAGAAACCAGGCAGGACTGAGTCGAAGTGGAAGTCAGTGAGACAGAAGCACATCCCTAGCGTAAGTGATGATTAGGGGGGGCTGGAGCATCTCTCCTATGAGGAAAGGCTGAGGGAGCTGGGCTTGTTTAGCATGGAGAAGAAAAGGTTGAGAAGGGACCTTATAAATGCTTATAAATATCTTAAGGGTGGGTGTCAGGAACATGGGGCCAAAGAAGAGGCGAGCCACAGAAATGATCTGAGGGCTGGAACCCCTCTGCTGGGAGGAGAGGCTGGGGGAGGCGGGGGTCTCTTGCC